ACTGGTAAGGGCCCAGCAAGGGCCCAGCAATAGGCCATGAAGATGAATAAGGGACTGGAGCATCTCTCCTATGATGAAAGGCTGAGAGAGCTGGGACTGTTCAGCCCAGAAATACAAAATGCAAGGGAGGGTGCAAAGAAGATGGAGCCAGGCTTTTTTCCATTGGTGCCCAGTGACAGGACCAGAGGCAGTGGGCACAAACTGAAACACCGGAGGTTCCCTCGGAACATCAGGAAACCCCTTCTCACTGTGAGGGTGACTGAGCCCTAGCACAGGTTGCCCAGGGAGGCTGTGGAGTCTCCACCCTCGGAGATGCTCAAAAAGCCATCTGGACATGACCAGATCTGGTCAGGATGATCTCCAGAGGTCCCTTCCAACCTCAACCGTTCTGTGATTCTGTGAAATAGCTGGCTTCCAGCTTCTGCTCTTAAGAGCCCTTTCTACAGCTCACCATGTAAATCCTGGAATTGTCACCTCTGAAATCTTTATGGCACCGAGTTTAGAAAACACTCCAAACTTGCCAGGCCACGATCTATGGCCATTTAAGATAAAAGATGGTTTCCTTGAAAGCAGAAATTGAACCTGAACTTTTAATTTTGGATATTAATGTCTTCATTTTCAGGGAATTTTGTGTGTTAAAAAAAACAACACAGCAACTAAAACCACCCAAAGCAATTTCAAGCTACCTTTCATTTATAAGGTGCCATACAATTAATAAAAAAAAAATAATAATTTTTTTTCCTTATGCTTGTGGTTACAAACTTCCACCCTGTTGGCCCCAGGTCTGCAGCCATTAAGGTTAGGGAAAAACAAAACAAAACAAAACAAAGAAACCTCACACTTTCTCCTCTCCTCTCAAAGGTTTCATCTAACAGCTAGGTTTTTTATTCTAGTACTTCCCAACAGGATTTCATTAGTCTCAGCCAGAGCTGATTAATCCCATGCATCATGTACAACCACAGCAACATTTTCTGAGCATAAGATGCATCTTACGCTTGCCATCCTTAAACACAGGCTAAGGGAAGAAGGAAAATACCCCAAACCAATACATCAGTATTTTCTGTGCCTAGAGTTTCTATATAGAATGTCTGTTCAGACTGAACATACCAATTTACAACTTCAGTATCCAGAGCCCTGGTGGAGATGTTTGACATAAACCAGGAAATAACAGTATCTAAGAGATGAAGCGTGAAATTGAAATCACTCTGTTCTTTCATGTAGCAAAGGCTGCAACATCCAGAAAAGCAGCGAGTTAAACAACTGCTAAAGTAGTCTATCACACAAAACTCTTTGGTGGGGTTTGGCAGGGGGAGGGGGGGAGATCTGTTGCTGTTTGGTGGTGGTTGGTTTTTTTTTTTAATTAAACAGCAGTTAAAAAACCAGAACATGAACCTTTACAGGGTAAAAAAATATCTTCAGCTGTCTCAAAGAAGTCCCCAGTTTTAATGCAATTTCAAAGGAGTTTTCAGGTGCTGGGAATCTTCAGATAAAGCAAATAACATTGTTAAAATGTTAAATTTCTGTGCCTGAACTAGTTCTCCACTACCTTACCATTCATATTCTATGGATTATTCACTGTAAAGATCAAACCACTGGTATCCACTAGCTTGAAGACAGACTGTTTCACAGAAACATTCCAACAGTTATTTGGATCTCATGAAAAAAGCTCATCTAAAGTAAGACCTAGGTTGTTTCTTCTTTCTACTTGTGGTTTAACCCCAGCTGGCAACATAGCCCTACGCAGCTGCTCGTTCACTCTGCCCCAGTGGGATGGGGGAGTAGAATCAGAAGGGTAGAAGTGAGAAAACTTGTGGGTTGAGATAAAGACAGTTTAGTAAGTAAAGCGAGCCGCTCACACAAGCAAACCAAAACAAGGAATTCATTCACCACTTTCTGTGGGCAGGCAGGTGTTCAGCCATCTCCAGGAAAGCAGGGATCCATCACACCTAACAATGACTTGGGAAGACAAACGCCATCACTCTGAACATCCCCCCTTCCTCCTTCTTCACACCAGCTTTATAAGTTGAGCATGATGTCATATGGTTTGGAATATCCCTTGGGTCAGTTGGGGTCAGCTGTCCCAGCTGTGTCCCTTCCCAAATTCTTGTGCCCTCCAGCCTGCTCGCTCAAAAAGCCAAGACTCTGTGTAAGCACTGCTCAGCAGTAATGAGAATATCCCTGTGTTATCAACACTGTTTTCAGCACAAATCCAAAATATAGTCCCATACAAGCTACTGTGAAGAAAATTAACTATCCCAGCCAAAACCAGCACACTACTGAACCTGAAAAAGAAAAACTGTTCATGAACACATTCCCTATTAACTAGCAAGACATATATAAATCACTGCTAAAATAAACTGAATAGTCTGCTGCTATCATTCCTAACTTCATTTAACAGCAATGATTCCACAAGTCCAGAAACAGCAGCAAGGGAGCTCAGAAGAAGATACAAAAGGTATTAAACATGGTACTAAGTAGTGGTAATTGTGAAATTTTATTTTATTTTTTTAAGTTCCAGAAGAGGGTAGAAAATAGGGACAAAGTGCTGGATGTAAATAACCAACCACAGATGCAGAGTAATTGAACAAGATTAAAAAAAACCCTTAGCTTAAATTAATATATTTTATATGAGAAAAACAATTGGTACAAAGGCTGAATTAGAACCATGATTTTCAAGGTCAGGCACACACTTCCTCAGTCTCTCAAAACCCCCCACCCTTAAAAGAATATTTAGTTTGGAATGGTATTAATCCTGTAAAATGGTAGCCTCTAAATGCACTTATAATGCTCTCCTAATCTCTGGCACGAAATAGCTGAAATAAGAAATTTGGAAAATGCACATTTGAGGTATTCCACCAATTCCATGCTATTTAATAAACAAGTCAATTTATTATCATCCAACCCACCTACTCAACCCTAACTTGAGCTCTTAAATCACTAATATCTCACTAATTGAGAATAAGTGATTCAAGGTTTTAGTAACAAATTTATAGTTTTTCTGGAATATGAACATTTTACTTTATTATAAAGTACACTGTACTAGAAGGTTCATTCAAATCTAGGTAATATCAGTTACATTCCTATGGCTTTTGAGCAAAAAAGCAAGCAGTTCTACTGTATGTACACAATATTGAACATCGAGATTTAAATTAGTTATTTATTAATAACCTACATTCACTGTGGATTTCTAAGATTTACATCCAAAAAGCATATTTTATTTACATGCTGTTGACATTTTAAAGAAAATGAAATAAAATCTTATCTGTTTAGGGATTATGACCTATCCCAAATTAAAAAAAGACACATTTAACATGACAAAATGTTTAAAACATTTACAATAAAAAACAGCTTTCTGTGCCAATTATACTTACTCTCTAAGAATGTAAAATTGCATTGATAACTGCACTAACTATAATTAGACTTGAAACATTTAAAACCTGAGAGTCAAATCTAAACTTTTTTTTTCTCTTTTTTTAAAGAAAATCCTACAAGCTCATATGCCCTAATGTTCATTTAAGCACAGACTGGTCACTGGTCAATTAAAAAAACAAAACAAAACAACAAAAAACCTGTGCATTATGTCTGCAGCTCCAAAAGAATAGATCACTACAAAATTGTTGGAGTAGTTTGATAAATGCCAGGCCTGCCAGCTGTGGTAAGGCTTATTTCAAAGTGTCCTTTCCCACACACTGTACCCTAATCAAATGATAAGTGTAGTTGGCCAACTCCTGTGAGGGTTCCTACATTTATGTAAGCATGTATTTGTTTAAGGATGCATCTGGGATGGGGCTTCCGACCTCAAACATACATACACAGGTGTTTCAATAGTTACATTAGAGTAAAAAAAAAACCCCAAAACATGAAGAGACATGGAAAGTTAGAAATACTGGCCAGAAAACATTCAAAGTCTAATGAGAAGTTTTATATCAACCCGAAAGGCCTTTTAAGATCAGCATAGCTCTGGAGCAGCATTCACTGTACTACTAAATACCATGTACCTTACATTAAAAAAAAAACCCACAACATAAAATTGTTACGCTAACAGGTACACTTTACTGCACTGCAGGATGTAAAAAGTAACCACACCTATAAAGCCTGGGGAAGAGAAGCATCTCACACAAAGTTACTCCATTATGTAGTAGCCATTTTATTTCTGGACTTGGAAACATTATGCTTCTTTTTGAGTGAAATAGCTTTCCCCTCCTTCTTCCTTGTATCCTTCAGAAACTGTGCTTGACCAAGAGCATCTCCCAGGAGGGGTCTGAGAAGGCCAGGATCTTCCCATTCTGGAGCTATTTTCCACAGCTTTAATAGTTTGCCCTTCTCATGCAGATGGTTGCCAATGCAGTAGTGGTCCTTCCAGGCTGAAAGCAGGCAAACTGCAATTATCAGCCTCTACAGGCAGCATTGCTTCACAGACTATCCAACAGGTTGCATTTAACTAAATTGACATTCCCTGGGACCCAGAAACTCTTATCTCAAACGACTGCCAATACCACTCACCAAAATAAACACATGAGTAACTGTAGCTCTGAAACACGTTATTCCTGCATTTCATAGGGACTGATCTTTGCTATTTAAGATGGGAGCATTTCATTACAGCTTTAAGCCTAACTGCACCATATGGCAACATATTCACGTCTACTTATGCCACATCAACCCATCTTATAATTTGAAAACTAGATCTGCATTACTACTACTTCACCCCCTTCACCACTAAGACAGTGTAAAACCAACTCCCAGCATAAGCTTTTTTCCTGGGTTTAGGATCTTTCTTTTTCTAAGGCACTCACATGAACAAGCACACAGGTTCAATTATTTATACGGAATTAAAATCAATGATGTAGCAAATATGCTTGTGAGCAATAAGAAAAATGTGACACCTGCCAATTAGGTGACACATTTTACTACCCAATGTAGCACTACCCAATGGTTGTTTTTTTTTCCAAAACCCCCCAAAATTCTACAACTTTATATGTTACAGTGGGTAATATCAGGGATTTTTTTTGTATGTTTTACAGAAATTACCTTAAACCTTGCCCCCCAAAACAATGAAAGTAAACAGCCACAAGTTCTGTCATTCATTGACATAAAGCAACAGATATACTGAAGAACATTCTGCTATTAATACATAGCAAATCGAACTTAGTATCTGAGTTTAAGACGGTGTGTTTTATCCCTTTGATTCTGGAATACAAGTAGACTAATTTTAAGTAAAAATAGAGCAAGTGTATACAAATTAAGAGAAAACTGCAGGAGTTAAGAATATACATGACTTCATGCAGTGATAATATACTTCATCCCTAGAAATGTACAAGATTTCAAAAGTCATCCTTTGTGGAAATAAACTCTTCCAAACTACTGAAAAAAAAAGAAAAAAAAAAAGAAACTTTCAATACACTGCTAAGGTTTTCATAGGTGATCAAGAAGATGTTGACTCAGTTTCTTCATCAGCTGTTTGAGAAACCTTGCTCTCATTCACTGTGCAGAAGAGTTCTCATCCCAACAACAGGAGATTGGTTGGCACCAATAAGGCAATCACTTGGTACAGTTTTTACTAAGGTTAAATAAACCCATGATGTCAACCATTGCTTTTTGGATGTTTTTTCCAAAACGATGAGAATCCTTTAAAAACAAACAAAAAAACAAAACCAAAGACTTGTACTGTCAATCAACAGTTATGTTTTAGGCAAAAGATGGAACCTTTTAATATTTTGTAATTTTGGAGCTTAGAGAATTAGGGCATGTATTTTACCACAAAATGGGGAATTTAAACCACAAGAATTTTAATGCTATACAAATTAATCCAGGTTTATGATATTACTGACTAATGAGTTCTTCATTGTGCATTTACTTTCCTACAGACAGAACTGAGATCATCTCTTTTTGAAATCAGATGCATCTATAGCTTTCTGTTACTTTAAAATATCTGGGGCTTGGTATTGGTTTTTTATACAAGATTTTGCAAAAGCTAATTTTCAGAAAACAAAAGAATGTTCAGAAAATGTATGACCAATGACCTAGAAGTACTGAAAGAGCAGAAAGACATTTTGTATTTGAGTTCCTATCAGAATCCTGAATCATTTGCCATTAAAAATTACACAAAGTGTTGAAAATGAAAATCACAATTATCTAAGTGTAAACAAACTATGAACTTGTGCTGTTTATTCTAAGTGTCAGATGAATGGTACAAGGAAAAAATTAAGATTACAAATATAAATTATTAGCTATATTACAGGACCTACTACAAAGACCCTACTAATATCAAGGCCATGCACATGAAATGCTGCCTTTTCTGTATGGACCTTTGACTTGACTAGTAAGTAAAAAATACAGAGAAATTTAAAGTACAAGCTAACAGACATCTGAAGAACAATTTGAACTATGAAAAAAAAAAAAAAGTTGTATTTCCTAATCTTTAATGATTAACCAAAGGCACCAAGATCTTGGACAAGTTAAGGTCAAAAGAGGAAAACTAGGTCAGGTATGTAATCTTGAACAAACTCAGCAGGTTTATTACAGTCATAAAAATGTAAAGGGAAGGATGAATTGAAGCTCACTCAAAGCAGGCCTCCGCAACAGCAGGATAGTGAATAGATGACATCTACTGCATTCTAATAAGGGGTCTTATTGTCATAAATTTTTTATTAATTACGTTTCTCAAGCACAGACTACAACTTATGGGCCAGCTTCTTTCAGTATTATTTAAACCAAGAAGATTTAAAGAATAGGGAGCATACATTTTGCTCTGCCTTTACAACTGCAGCCAGAGACAAATCAAAGCAAAACTATAATAACAAAAAACAGGAGACACTCATCTTCCTGTTTATGGGACAGATATGAGTCATTTTACACAAGTTCCAGGGAACTACACATGTGTAAAGATGACTGTGGGCCACGTGCTTTCTTTATGCTTGAAAGCATAAATGAAATAGAATATGGTTTCCTTGGTTCATAAAGCTATTAAATTTACAGAAGTGGAGACAAAAAAACACCCCAACAAAACAGCATGTGTTGAGAAAGAAAAAACACGTTATAACTGTATGTTGCAAGTCCTACTAAATTTTTCTGGACAATAAGTAGAACAGTTTTATAAGCAGATATCAGAACAGATTTATTAAACCATAGGAAAGGACTGACTCTTACCGTCTCAGAACAAGATATTTTGCTGGAGACATGGAAATGGATGGAATTTTCATCCAAGATAATATAAGAAACACCATAACCATCATCAGCCACCTAGGGGAAGAAAGAAGAGAAAAAACAAGTTCTAAACTTTTTTTTTTCTTCCATTCCTAAATTATCTTATACACAATTACACAATTCTTACTGTGCAGTTTTAAAAATCAGTTGCAATTTCTCCTCAAGCAAAAATTAAGCTTCTACATTTAATGCACCATTTCTGAAGACTTATTCCACTTAAGGAAATGGTTCTAGTCTCATCTGAAGTGCACAGAATTAACATTTTCTGAATACATGTCTGTAATATTTCTTAGTTTTAGTATTTTGAAATACAATACTTTTTCAAAGACCTTCTATCAAGGTCTGGTCCTAAGCAGCTATACAGCTTCAGTGCTTAAGGAGAAAGGAATAAAATAGTTCAGTTGTATACCTAAACATCCTGTTTCATGGGATCACTCTGCAGATGTAAACAAATACAGTATATACATACAGAGTATACAAGCCTCATAGTATGAAAACTTGCCCAAAGGCGAAATCATCCAATACTACAGCAAAGATATGTTTCTGAACACGCATACCATGAACAGAACTCTGGTCCGATTTCAACATTAGCAGCATTAACTGTCCCAAGTTTCAGTCTGATGTAATATTTAAAGTATGCCTAGTAAACCATGACTATCCTGCTTCCACCCTCCTTCCTCTCTTTCTTAACTCAAAGGATCACAACCTTCAAGCTCTTTGCTGCCACTTCTGCCAAGCAGCCCGATAGTCTTCCAACCATTAGTGCTACAGGGCTATATTCTACAGAATACTGAAAAAAAACAACCCCAAAACCAACACACACAACACACAAGGAAAGCCTGATGTAGTGAATCTCTCAGCTCCTTCAGCAAACCAAAGCAGTTTTTGCAAGGATACAAGAAATGATGAAGGGAAATGTAAGCAGGGTTATTTGGAAAGGCAGACAACTGAAGGAAGGAAATTAAAGGAATGAAGAAATAATAAAAGGAAGCAGTTAATATAGCATTAGCAAAAACAAAAGGAAAAAAGTGTTAGAAATTCCTGCAGCCAAAAAGCTGTTTTATTGCCAGACCACACCTTTTTGGGGATTCTAAATACTGACTTTATAATCTGCTGGAGCAAGACAGTTTCTCATTAATGAGCAGCATTGCAATAGCTAGGTTTCCTTGATACTGCAATTTAAACTCATTCCAACTTCAAGAACTACTGAAAGCTGTATCAGAAACATGAATAAATAAATTAAAAAAAAAAAACCCACAAAAACCAAATTCCAGCTTAACAAACAAGCCAAAATACACTGTATTTGTCGTCCCAACTTCTGTGTGGCAAAGAGCAGTCCTGTGATCCCTCTCATTGTTCTTTTAATAGAAATGCTTTTTGAAAACAGGTTAATCTAGTCTATAGCCCCATAAACTCTGCTTAACAGATCTTGTTAAGAACTATATCATCATCAATGGCCATGTTCAAGTTCCAGTAAAATACTACATCAAGTTAAAAGCTTATAAAAACTCTAGCAATACACATGTATCTCAAAAGTCTGCGGAAGCTGTAGAAAGTTGTTTTATTCTTGACTTAGCCACTACTCACATTTAGAAGGGCAAGCAGACAAATGTGAGTAGCTTAATTCGGAGGCAAGCTGGAACACATTTTTTATTAATCAGAAAACATGAACAAGAGCAATAAAATTACTTCTATAAAACTCAACTTTAAAATCTAGTTTAAGTAATAAAGCATTTGTCATGGTAATAATTGCCTGATATACAGTAGCTCTGGGCATAGAATCATAGAATGGTTTGGGTTGGAAGTGACCTTAAAGATCATCTTGTTCCAAACGCCCCTGCCATGGGCAGGGACACCTTCCACTAAACCGGGTTGCTCAAAGCCCCATCCAACCTGGCCTTGAACTCTTCCAGGGATGGGGCATCCACAACCTCACTGGGCAACCTGTTCCAGTGCCTCAGTATCCTGACAGTGAAGAATTTCTTCCTTATACCTAATGTAAATCTACCCTCTTTCAGTTCAAAGCCATTACCCCTTGTCCTATCACTACATGCCCTTGTAAAAAGTCCCTCCCCAGCTTTCCTGTAGGCCCCTTTTAGGTACTGGAAGGCTGCTGTAAGGTCTCCCTGGAGCCTTCTCTTCTCCAGGCTGAACAACCCCAACTCTCTCAGCCTGTCTTCA